TTATTAACGATTTAAATACATGGCGTCCTTAACCTTTCTTAGAACGCTTTCTTGTCTTTTTAATTAAAGATGATGCTATTAGTTTGTTAGAAAATTCTAAACGTGAACTCCATGATCCGGATATGAGCTAGTCTGAGGGTCTGATGAAATTAAACTTACTATATTTCACATAAATTCAATTATTAATTTAATTAGGTTACAAATTGGCACCAACGTCAAATTATAACGTTACAATAACTTGTCTCTTTCATTTTAATTTTCTACGCGTTTTTCAACTCTTTAAATATGTAACAAAGAAGATGTAATCATTTCCTACATAACCTAATTTGAGAAAGCAGTGCCATTTTATAAATGTTAGAGACATATCAAAAAGGTTCCAAGTACAATAAGTTTGGTGCTTGGCATCTTTGTAAAAAAATATATTTGCAGCAACAAGGGGCCAACCGTCTGCCTATGCTAGGTACTTGGAACTTTTTTGCCCTCATTCTTATTTAAATATTGACCTTTTTTCCCTCATTCTTATTTAAATATTGACGCCTGTACTCTCGGTTATCTCCTTAATTCGACGCTTGTCACCTTTTTACACAACGTTAGTTAGGGTTCGAAGATATCTCAGAAATGGCTCGATTGTCGCTAGGTCCCTTTCTGCTCTACACCAGCGTTGTTTTTTGATGTGTGAATTTGGGTCATTTGAATAGAAATTTTAAATATCAATTTTTAGAAATATACAGGGATGTATCATTTTGGATTATTTACGCACACAAATAATCGCAAACCTAGATAGTAAAATTAAATATTAAGTCAACCAACTGGTGAATTGACACTGTTCGTTAGCTCAAGAGAGGGCACCTATTACTAGGTTTGAACCATAAAGGATATGTAAACATCAACACAGTAAGTTAACCAACTGACGAATTGGCGCTGTTCGATAACACCGTTGGTCATCACCTCTATACTCGTTGAAATAAATACCTAAGAAAATACAATCCTCTGTATATCTAGGATATAATCAAGGTGAATAAAATATAAACATCAACACAGTAAATTAACGAACTGGCGAATTGGCGCTGTTCGTTAACTACGTTGATCAACAAGCTAAATAAAATATATCTTGAAAGCAAATGAACGTGGTCCGCATTTGAGCGGGATTTAAGGCTGTTTTCGCGGTTCACTATTTTGGCATTATCCATGTATCTTAGTTATTTATCATCAGTATAATTTAATTTTTTGCTGAATTATTTAAAATAATCTCTAGTTATACCCTAGTTTATTAAATAAAAATTAAAAATGAATATTAAATTTCATCAATTTGCAGATATCAATTTTTGGAAAACTGGAGTTATTGACTAAGTTTTTGCTAAAACAAAAACTAATTGACTTTTGTAATAAACCGTTTTCCAATAATATTTTTATTTCGAAAATATTTCCCTCTTTATCATATACCTGTTACCAACGGTAGCCTGGAGAAGCAAATATAAAGTGATTCGGCCAGGGTCTAACTCGATCTTTTGATTGTAAAAATTTAGTATAATATATTTTTTATTATTTTTTACGTGTTGTGGAACTAAGTAAGAAAAAAAAAATGTCGTGCAGTTACTAGCAAAAGGTTGGACAATTTTTATTATACATTTTACTAAAGAAAAAAATATATAATTTGATTGATATGCGAATATTTTTATTAATTCATTTCCAAATTATATCATTCATGAATATTTTAAGAAATATCTCGAGTCGAAAACAATGGACAATTTTCAAAATATTCCTAAGAACAGATTATATTAATTTTTAATTTATTAAAAATATTATAAAAGTAACCTTTATTATTGTGCTAATTTCAAATCCTAATGTACTAAAATCCCACAATGTCTTTTCGATAATACTCAGCTCATAATGAGTTAGTGAAAGTATTTTTAAAGCAGCTTGGGAGGCCATAAAACAAGCAGGACTGAAAGAATTACAATTAGCAAAAAATATTGGAGAAGTAGATAAACAAGGAAATGGTCTAATTGCAGTGATTGTTGACGGTACATGGTCTAAGCGGTCATATAAAGTTAATAACAACTCTTTATCTGGAGTAGTAGGTTTATATTTTAATATTATATTGTGTGATCCAAAAACAATGTTTCTAAAGTAAGCCATGATCGATTGAATTGTAAAGAATCCGTCAGACGTGATTATTCCATGGTCCATGGTATTTAAAATATTTAATAAAAGAAATTGTAAGAAGAAATTGATGTAATTTATTTTTTTTTGTGATTGTATTTTGTTATGTGAAATAAAATGTTTTATTAAAACTAGTAGGATATTAAAGTTTTTTTTTTATAAAGTATTTAATTTATTTTCAACTATTTTTACTTTCCTATCTCTATACAGATAAGGAAAGTATAGGAATCATGATTTTTTTCGACCTCAAGTTTTCGACGGAATTTTACGTCCCCTGAAACCGTTTTGTTTGTGTGTGTGTGTCTGTGTCTGTCTGTGTCGTGTCTGTGTCTGTGTCTGCGTCTGCGTCTGCGTGTGGGTGTGCGTGTGTGTGCGTGCGTGCGTGCGTTCGTGCGTGCGTGCGTGCGTGCGTGCGTGCGTGCGTGCGTGCGTGCGTGCGTGCGTGCGTGCGTGCGTGCGTGCGTGCGTGCGTGCGTGCGTGCGTGCGTGCGTGCGTGCGTGCGTGCGTGCGTGCGTGCGTGCGTGCGTGCGTGCGTGCATGCGTGCGTGCGTGTGTGTGTCTTTGTGTGTGTGTGTGTGTGTGTGTGTGTGTGTGTGTGTGTGTGTGTGTGTGTGTGTGTGTGTGTGTGTCCACACTCATGAATCGATACAAAGAAAAACAATAAATTTTTAACTTAAGCTTTATTCCGGCGTCCAATGAAATGATTAGATTTTGGGAGAGTCTGGAGGGGTGCTTTATAGGTGGTCATTTTTATATTTCATGGAATATATCTGTCATTTGCGTTTGCAGAAGAAAATTTTTCAAATAAAAGTTACTTCTAATAATATTATCTATAATTTTTGTTTTATACAAAATTTTCCTAAAATGGTCCGTATTCGAGAAATTTGACAAAATGTAAAAAAAAATATTTTTTTATAAAAATTGTTTAAATAAAAGTTGTTTGTAATATAATTTTCTATAATTTTTATTTTATACATAATTTTTCTAAAATTAACCGTATTCGAGATATTTGAGAAAATGTAAATTTGGAATTTTGAAGAAAACTCAAAAACAGATTAAGAAAAAAACATTAAATTTTAATCTTAAGTTTTATTTCGGCCTGACGTGAAATGATTAGATTTTGGACAAAGTCGAAACATGTGGGGGGATACTTTATCTGTTATTTATGTTTGGAGAAGAAAATTGTTCAAATAAAAGTTACTTCTAATATAATTATAATTTTATGTTTATGTCAAAATTTCCTAGAGAGAAAAAATGTGCTAAATTCTGATTTTTGGGAAAATTGTTGAACTAAAAGTTGTTTGCGATATGGATCTCTATAATTTTTGTTTATACATGATTTTCCTAAAATTGACTGTAATGGAAAAATTGTAGGAAAAGTGCTAAATTTAAATTTTTCAGTATTTTCGTTTTCAATGAATATAGAAAAATCTTTCGAGGTAGATGTATGTGGAAAATGTATATATTTAGTTTATCTTCTAAATTTTTATAGAGGTGCTGCAATAGGTTGTATACAATAACCGCAAAAAAACCTATAATAACTAGATAGGAAAGTCATGTGTTGGACACATCAGATTTTTACTTTTAGTGAACGAAGAAAAGATAAAACCAATACATTATAGTTTTTTAAGAAATTAAAACAAAGCGTATATATTATGTACGATAAAATAGTTTTCCAAAACTTTTTCGTCTACACTACAAATTAATTGTGAGACTGATGCGATTATTTAAAAAAAAAACAAATATTTTATATTATGTACCACTGTATATTAAAGCACTTTCCAATAATCAGTTTCTTACTTTAAATATATCATTAATAAAGCCATCCAAAGCTTTTGCGCGGATACCAAGTGCATACTATCGAATATTGGTAATAATAACAACAATAATGTTTATTTACAAAAAATACGATCAATAATTATGTGTATAAAAATCCTTTACTATTTCACCTTAGAATATAAATAAAATCAAGTTACATGTAGTTAATTATTTATTTAAAAAATAATTTCTCTAGATAAAGAAAGAAACCTTTCGAGTCCGTCGTCGAAGTAATAAATAAAAATAATATCTGCAAGGAAATTACTATCAATACAATAGTTACAATATACCTACAAATTTGGCTAAACCGCGTTTCAGGTGGAGATGAATACCGAAGAAGATAGGTGTCCCATTTTACTGAACGGAGAAAGATAGAATTGTCTTTACATAAGCAAACGGAAAGTGGTAAAACAGCCTTAAATGCAAATTATTTCGTTACATTTTAAAGTATGAAAATTTGAACCAAACTTTGCATCGAATTTTGGTTTATTTTAATTAAAAACGTGGGTATATAAATGATCAATTAATTAACTAAACGATCACTACTACTAGAGGAAAAATACAGTAAGTATAAAATTTAAAGTAAAACTAAATTGAGAGGTAAATATTAAAATTTCAGATTTAAACAAAAATCGAAAGGGTATAGGGATGAATGGATATATTATGAATGAAGGATTTTAGTTTTAAAATTATTCTTTTATCTACTTAGAAAGAATTGATTAAATGAAAATTATGAATATTACCTACTTTTAAAATAAACATGATTATACAATACATATGTATCGTCTAAAAACAACTCAATATAAACACACCTTTAATCTTTAATGTTCTGACCTTGTCTTTAAATAATTAAATAGAAAAATCGCAATTCACTACATATTACTATACAATTATAATCTTTAGTTCTAAACTACAAATCACTTTCAATATATACGATAAATTCAATAATAAAAAATGTTTGGTAATTTAACTTCAAGTTCAAGACTAATTATACAAATTAAAGCTGAATCAAACTAACCTCTTTCGTAAAAATCTTTAGCAGTTACTTTGCCAATGCCTGTATTAGCGCCAGTTATAACTGCCGTTTTGCCATCCAATCTTGCCAAAGAATTGGCTGGTGTTGCCAGAAACGAACCCATAAGTTTATTTATTATTAAATTTAGTAGTAGCTGCTACAGAACGTATATACGTAATAACCATACAACAACAAAATCGATGGCAATTTTAACGTTTGTGTCCTTCATAACAAAAACTTATAATAAGTAGGGGGAAATGGAAGAATGAGTAAATATATGGTTTGAGTGTCGCTAAAAATGGAAATTGTAGCAGCATAGTGGAGGGAATTTAATTAGTCCGAAAATTGAACTCTGCATGAAAGCCAAATGACCTAGCCACGGGTCCATTGCCAATCACAAGCAGTCCAGTAGGAGTCAAATTATATTATTTTTTTTTAAATATTATTTGGCAGGAAAAAATAAAAAATTTTATACTATAAATAATATTATTTTTTGTTGTACGTTGTGGGTTGTGGTGTAAATAATATTGTAACTTTTTTAAATAATTTTAGAGTTTTATAAAAAATTAATTGGATATTTTGATGTACAAACATTTTCCTAGTGTCTAGAATTCTAGTTTTTAAAAGTAATACCTATATAAGATTGGTAATTAATATTTTTCTTATAGTTTTTTGAATTTTTGTTATTCATTAAGTTGTATAGTGTAGACCAGAATTATTTCATGTTATTTCACAATTAAATTTCAATGTTACTATTATACAGTGTAGAACAGCTAAATGGAATAAATTCGGTATTAAATAAATGGGAGTTTATTCAGATAAACGTTTGAACACATCGATTAGTATTCTTAGTTGTACATTTTTTTTAATAAAAACTTTTTACCCAGGGTGTGTCTAGTAACAGTGGCCAATACCAACTCTCTTATTTTAAATGCAACATCTTGTGTATTGTTCAATTTTTATTTTTTTCAGAAAATTCTAGACCTATTTTGGAACTGGAACTGTTTTGGAAATATTAAATTTATTGCAAAAATTAACAATAACAAAATAAAATTGTTTCTTTACAGAAATTTGCTACAACATACTCAATACTTGTTTCCTATTTAGGTCTTGGCGAACTTCCAAACATATTTTAGACGACAAAAAAATTAGATGGGCAATATCCAGCTTCTCTCCATTTAAATCGTCAGGACCTGACGGTATCTATCCAGCCCTACTTCAGTGGGGCCTGGAAGGACTCACGCCACACCTGTTGGGTATATTCAGATCCTCGTTGGCTCTGAGGTATATCCTCGAAAAATGGAGAGAGGTAAAAGTGGTATTTATACTTAAAGCTGGAAATATGGATTACACTGTCCCAAGAACATACCGACCAATTAGTCTGACATCGTTTTGCATGAAGACTTTGGAAAGGCTATGCGAAAGGTACATAAGGAATGCGGTGATTACAACAACACCACTACACCCAAACCAACATGCATACACCCTAGGTAGATCTACTGATTCAGCCATTCATCTTGTTGCTAGCCGGATAAGAAGATAGAAGGTGCTTTTGATAAAACCACCTTTCCAAAGATAATACACTCACTAACAAACAGGAATATTTCAAATATGGTTAGTGGGTGAATACATAACATGCTCTCAAAGCGAGCAGTAAACATAAGTGTAGAACATGTTGCCACGCTCCTAGTCTCCCCAGGACTGTAAGGGGTGGCAAAGATTACTATTTTACCAAGCTAACTCTATTAAATTTATTATTCGGAGAGTGGGGTGGTTAATGAAAGTATTTTGTCCTGGGATCTGATTTAATATTTTTATCTTTTAGTTGATGCACAAAATTTACCATGGAGTTATTATCCCCTACAAATGTTTATTATGTTCTCTATACTGTTAATAATATAAAGGTGATTTACGTTCCCCCTTGTAGTACTATAAGGTGCACAGAAAAAGGTGAGTTTTAATTATTATCTTAAATCTTATCAACTATATATATTGTACTTTACTCTAGTGTACAGATGGTAATGAGAGCTGCTACGTTCAGGTACATTAAAATAAGAAAGGTAGTCCTTACTTGAGGGCTGAGGGATTTGAAGTCTTACTATCGACTGATAACTCAGGACTCGGTAATGGTTGGTGATGTCTCCAGAAGGTGCCAATGAATTATATGGGTGCTGCAGATAAATCGGTGGTAGATACCGAACCTTCAATATCTATCGGTCATATCTCTCGATTCAAATAATCTTGTTCAAATAAATATTCAATGAATAAATGAACGCATAAAACGTAAATAAGTACGTAAATAAGTACGTAAATAAGTACTTAAATAAGTACTTAAAGGCCTAAAAGGAAACAACATTATTAATACTTGATTTTTTTTAGGAAAGCATGGACAGGTTGAACTTACCACAGATGTGAGGGGCCTTTCTTTTACAAGCAATAAAATCCACAATATGTGATTCAACTTAAATGAAACATTACTTGTAAGAATTAAGATGAGGGGTGAAAATACTGGCTAAATAAATCCGAAAATTCGAAAACTTAAACCCAGGTGGTTCAGCAAGAAGCCATTTTATTCAAAAGGTCAGATATGAGAGTATAAAAAAAAGATTTATAAAAAGTGGTCAGTTCATGTCCAGATAAGATATTTTAAATTATCCTGATTGTTGTACCTTAATGTAATTATTTTAATTAATTTGAAGTATTTGAAAAAGAAGAAAATTGACAACAAAATGACGTTGACATGATAGAAATAAACAAGTCATATATAAAATCATAATAAAGATTTTAAAGAAAATCTACCCTAAACTACCTAACTAAATAACTAAATTTCTCTAAATTATTTAAATAGGGTAAACATTTATAATTTAGTATTTCGTTGGAATAACATTCTACTCATCGTGAGGTATCTAATGTCGATTTATATTTTGTATTGTTTTTAGAATTAAATCTGCACTTAGTAAAATATATGCGGACGATGAAAGCGAGAAATAAGGGTGTGATTAAATCTATTGGTAAGTTTTATGTTCCTAAATATCTTATTGATATTGTTATTTATATTTATTATTTTTAGGGTTTCGAAACACAGATGACTGAAAACTATTATTAATATTGTGATTTATCTTATTACGAATAAATTCATTTTTTTTTTTCGAAGACATCTTTATCTTTTTAGGGTAAAATATTCCCAAGGTAAAATGTGCACGTAACAATGTCAACATAAGAGGCTTAGTTGCGAGGGGAGGTCCACAGGGAGGGGTGCTATCAGCTCTACTGTGGAATATGGTCCTCGACACCCTCATCAGGCGCCTCAATAATGACAGTGACTACACAATAGCATAGATGACCTGGTCATTGTGCAAACAGGAAATTTTAAGAACATACTTTGCGAAAGAAAGCAAGTAGCTTTAAAAATTATCGAACAGTGGTGCAAGGACCATTCACGGTCTATTAATCCTAAGAAACCAGAAATGGTCCTTTTCACAAGGAAAAGGATGAAAATTCAATTAAAACCTCCAGAACTCCTAAACACAAAACTAAACTTTGCAACAGAGGTGAAGTACCTCACCTTTGACAGCAAGTTAACATGAAACTCGCATTTAGAATACAGAGTTAAAAGAGCCTAAGTAAGTAGTTAACACGGATTTTCCCTCATTCCTTATGTAAATTAACGTGGGGAAATCGCTTAGAAAATCCAAGATGGCGGCCATCGTTTTCTAGCGCGCCGTCCATGCGCACTCACACTTTTTGAATTCAAAACCTTTTATCATCGAAGTAACATCGGAACTATGGATACATCATTCGGAGCGTTTGTTAGGGGAGGTTGGTGTTTTATATAAATTGTAATTCTCATTAAAGGAGATTTAAGGAAGTAAACTCGTATTCTATCCATTCCCAAGCTGTATCTACCCTCAATCTTTAAATGTTAACCACCACATTCCCAAGCTGTATCTACCCTCCATCTTTAAATGTTAACCACCCCATTCCCAAGCTGTATCTACCCTCAATCTTTAAATGTTAACCACCCCATTCCCTAGCTGTACCTACCTTCAATCTTTAAATGTTAACCACCCCATTCCCTAGCTGTACCTACCCTCAATCTTTAAATGTTAACCACCCCATTCCCTAGCTGTACATACCTTCAGTTTGTTTAAAAGAAGTCAACATATTAGTAAATGTAATCCACCCATTACCCAACGCCACTTTATACTAACTATTAATCTAAATATAAGTAAAAATATTGGTAAAATGAAATTCTCCCATTTCCAAGCTGTAACTACCTTCAGAGAAACTTATTATCTTCTTTTAATCAGTATAAAAAGAAAAACATTATATTTAGATGTAAACTGACCTATTTTTAAATTAATTAAGAAGGAATAATCAAGATTAAAAAATCAAACATATTTTTCACAATGTGCCTGCAATCATAATAAACTCGGATATTTTTAAACACTATATAAAAATAAAAATTACCTTTATCAAAGTATTTGAAGGTTAAACAACGAACATATTTTAATGAGTGTAATGAAAAAAAAAAAAAAAAAACCGATAAGGATATATCAATGCATTTTATTAATAATCAATTTAATGGGTCACAGAATTAGATTACGTAAAAGGATCTTCAAAAAGTAATAGCTATCCATCATTTTCATTGTGTCTTCATAGCGAATGTTTTGCATTCCATTAAAACACAGATTAATTGAGTGTTAAGTAGTTTAAAAAAATAGTATGAATTCTACACTAATAAAAAGAACATTATAACTACCAATCGTTGTAATCTTTTAATGTTGAGAAATAATTTCTGAGGTCATATGGTCTGATTAATCAGACTGAGCACCTGTTAAAAACATTATTTAAAAAATATACACTAATAAAAAAGAAATTTATAACTTTCATTCAACGAAAGCTTCTATTACTGATGTATGTTTTTTGTGTAGGTATCTACAACCTCAAAAAAAAATTAATATAAAATGTTCTGCATTACATTTAAACGCAGATTAATTGCGTGTTAAGTAGTTTTTTAAAAAATATTATAACTATCCATCGATGAAATCTTCTAATTTTGAGGAGTAATTTCTGAGGCATGATGATCCGGTTCGATTAATCTCGCGAAGAACCTGCTATAAAATATAAACAGATATGAATTAAGTAAAATTATGAGTTTAATTGTATTTGTTCGTTTCCACACCATCTTATATATTAAAAATTACTATAAATATTATTAAATATAAATAATAAAAGGTAATATAATGAAATAGAACTTATGGCGCGTTTTTTTTATTGTGGTATTCCACTTGTAATTAATTAATTTTTCTATCTACTTTATTTTAAATCAATTATGTTATTAAATTACAAACTAATATATATGAAAAGAATACAATTTAAATTATTTAAATTTTATAAATATAGAAAAAATGATAACTTATTATTTCAAAATTAAAACTATTTAATTCATTTATTTAGTAGCTTCACTGATAATCTTTTACGAACCGATTCGAGAGTTTTACCTATATAACATGAAATTTAGATAAAATAAT